AATTTGAATTATCGAATACATCCATTTACAGGTTTACTTTTTGTGGGATTTTGATGTGATGGTCTGGGATGGAGGCACTTAACCTAAAGTATTGCTTTTGAAATGATAATGTTTGGCAAAACTTTCAAAACATTATTGTTGTCAATCATATTCTCCCTGGATATTTATTGAAAAACCTGTAATACTCTAAAGAGAGTGCTATTGATCTTTTACATTTTGAACATCTTGCAATTTGAAAAAGAGGAATGATGGTGAATAACTTAGTTTATTTTTTCCCAATTAGAACTCTCTGTTTCAATGCTGATGGTTCCTGCCTTTTGTCAGGCTCTCAAGAGTCAATTAAAGTTTGGAACAGGTAAAATGTCTGTTTTTTTTTTCTGATAGAAAAAAATGTCATCTAAAAGAAACTTCTGTCATGGTGGAAAAGGGAAAAGTGCCTGTATAATCCATTCCTTGTTTACAAGGAAAACTTTTAACTTTGCCTTTGAGATGTAATCTCCTTTTTCTCAAAGCTAATTTATGATGAGATTTACAGTAATTTCTTTTATCATGAACTGATTTAAGTGAATAATATTATAATACCTTTGTCAAAAAACAAACAATTTGTTTTATTTGGCAACCCCGTTGTATATTTTTGATTGCAGATCATCTTGTCAACCAATAAGAACAGTATCCACAGGGTATGCACTATGCTCATTGTTTGTGCCAGGAGACAAGTATGCCATCATAGGAACCAAGGTACTGCAACTGTTTGAAAAGAAAAAAATGTATTTATTTTCTAGAAAAAAAAGTTTTACAGAAACTCTTATGCTCCAGCTGCTTGGGAATATTTACGACAGGAAAAGCTAGGTGGCAAAACATACACAAGTTGGTTAAAATAAGTTTAAAAAAATCACTTAGAAAACTTTTTTCCTTTTTTTTTTTTTGCAGACAGGGAAGCTAGAGATCTATGACATATCATCTGGTCAATTACTGGAGTCTGTAGATGCTCATGATGGTCCAGTGTGGGGCTTATCTTTATCTCCTGACAAGGTTTGTAAGCAAGTAATTTGCCAGAAGTTGTCACATTATTAAAGCACAGCTATGAATTGATCTTGATTATGCAGAGACGTCAAATTTCTACAGCACGCAATTAGCCTAACTAAGACCAAGAATTAATCTTGATTATTTCATAATTTATTTTGTCAGCGTGGTTTTGCATCTGGTAGTGGAGACTCTACAGTAAAGTTTTGGGAATTTGATCTTGTATCAGATGCTGAGCACTCTCAAGTCAGGTGAGGAGAACAAATTTGAAGTGTTTGTCACTATGTGCCATTGTATAGTTACAAGACTTGTTCTGTTGATCACAGACAGGAATACCTTTGTAATAGAACTTTTTTTATGGGGTTGCGATGTTGTTTATTCTCAAACTTTATGACTTGTTTGCTTTTTTTACAAAGATGTTTATTTGTTTGTGAGTGTTCTAGTCTGAAATTGACCAGACTTCTTTGTTGTGGACTTGTTAGAGGAGAAGGATTATTTTATTATCCTTAGGCTGGAATGGATGATTACCTACATTGTGTATTTATTGAATGCAGATTTTAAGTTTTAAAATTTGAAAATTTCATATAATTTATTGAAATGACTTTATTTATAAATAACCTAAACATCTCAACTAAAGATGACACATTTTTTAACATAAATTTTTCGATTAATTGAATTTAATCACTGATAGGATATTTATTAGTAAATTAATTCCTTCTGTTGAATCAACAGTAAAAGATTGAGCATCACTCATGTGCAGACCTTGAAAATGAAGGAGGAGGTGTTATGTGTCAAATACAGGTATGTCCCTTTTGCATGAGACTACCAGAGTTTGTTTGTTTTTATTTTTCACCGACAGGTTACTGACCAAACTAGTGAGTTTGTTTAACTGACAGACTTACACTTGGTCGCAAATTAACTTTTATATTTGAATGCCAGGTGACAATAAAAAGTTTTGTTTCAATCACCACACGGAACAGTTTGGTTGCCAAAAGGTCCGATTCGTGAAATTTTCGCCTCGGCGAAAGTTAAAAAGGCGTTGTTTTAAGGGCCTCTCTTTGATTAAAACAAAATTCATATTTCATAGTTTGCATGAAATAAAGGTATAATACAATTGTAGTTCAGTGATAACAATGAAATGCAGCGCTTTGAGGAGAGGTGGGGATAATTATACATGTAAGTCCTGTGCATTACAAGGTATCTGAATTTTTTGTCTTTTTTTGTCTTTATTTTTTTTATTTAGTACATAAAATCCTAAGCATCGCAGAGAAAGTGAGAAACATTTTAAGGCAATATGGTACAAACAATCAACACAACGCTTTTTTTATCCTCTTCAATAGTCCTAATCAAAGATTGCTGGCTGTGAGTCTTCTAGATTGTACAGTTAAAGTGTTTTTTGCTGATACTTTAAAGGTTTGTTGTGTTGATTCTTTTTTGTAAAAGTACTACTTGCATGTTTGAGAGGCGACGAAATTAACTTACAATTTTACGAGCAAAAATTTCAATCTCAAACAGAAATTAAAGATTATGGAGACAGAGCATGTCTTATTTCTTTGTTTCTTTTTTTATCGACGAACTAAGATTATGGACTCCTACTGGCACTAGATCTGTTTCTCTTTCAAAAAAAAACAATTGATGAAGTCGTGATCTATCAAACATGGTGGATTGTGGAATTTAAGAAATGATGATAGAATTTTCCCTTTTTTGTGCACAAAAATCGTGTTTCATTTATAGCAGACCGTCTAGATTACATTTTAGAAAACTTCTTCCTATTTTTCCTTTTCAGTTCTTTTTATCTTTGTATGGACACAAACTCCCAGTTATGGCTTTGGACATTTCATCAGTAAGTATCCATATCCTTGCTCCAGAAACGGTTATTAGAACAGTCTTTGATTGATTATCGAAAGTCATCCGGTCTGGCATTGGTTGTGCTTTACTTTAGACAGTGAGTGGTTTACAAAGTGCGTGTTACCTTTAATAGCAATCAGTACCCACGCCTTCGTCCAACACGACCTGGACGCGTTTGTTTTCTCGTCCTTCAGTTTGTTTATTAAGGTTAACAAATAAAAGTAATTTTATTATCTATTTCCTCTTATGAACAGGATAGCAATTTAATCATCACAGGATCAGCCGATAAGAATATTAAGATTTGGGGGTTGGATTATGGAGATTGTCACAAGTCCATATTTGGACATGATGACAGGTTTGTTTGCTTGTTGTTGACTGCAGCGCATTTCGATTTAGTGCCGTAAACCTGATTTAAAGTAATTTCAACGGCCAATCAGAATACAGAAAAAATATCACTAGCAACCAGTGGAAACTCAAAAAGACTAAAGCGCAGGAAAACGGGAGTGAATTAGTCGCGATTGGTCGAAGTTTAAAATCTGATTGGTTGAGAAAGTGGAGCTTCTTATTTTGACGAATCATAGAATGATGTTGAGTAAAAACTAAGTAATGTTAGATTTCTTTGAATACGCGGATGGAAATTGGGTTATTGTAAGCTTATCGTTTTTCATTCCGCCTGAATCTGAAGCGCATTACCCTTGTGGTTAGCTTGCTGGACCCTGGATCAAATTTTGCGGGTCTTAACCGCGCCAGGTCTTTCAATCATGTTCTTGGGCAAGACGACGTGCACTCATAGTGTCTCTCTTTAGGGTGGGAGTATGAATGGGTACCAGCGAACTGTGAGATAGACTTTACAGGATGCTGGGTAACTAGCGATGATAGAAACTGTTCGGTAATGAGCTCCGCCGTTGAGTCACTAGGCTCTTTTGTATACCGTTTTGTTCCTCTTTTCTCATAAGTCACAAGTACCTCTTGAAAAAGTCTTACTTGTCATAATTTTAGGTTTTTATCGTTTACCTCAACTCACTTGTATTTTTTGCTTTTTTTCTTTTTTTCAGTATCATGGGTTTACAGGTATGTTGACAGACTTCTCCTCATCTCTAGTGATTTGCTAAGCGATAGCTCTAATTCAGTGAACATGCGTATCAACCACTGGTCGCGTTCGAAATGAAGAACTAATACTGCGCCCTGTATTGTTACCAGTGCTTACCACGAAAGTGAGGTTTTAGTTTCTACTTCAATAAAACAAGTTTCTTTGTTTCCACCAAAAATGATTCGCTGCGTTGACAGGCGAGTTTATGATCATTTTGTAGCTTTTAATCAGTTCAGTAGGCAACTTGCTATGAAGAAAATTAGAGCAGTTTATTTACCGTGTTTGTCTTTTAATTTTTCAACAGTTCGTCCCCAAGACTCATTATTTTTTCTCAGTCAGTAAGGACAAGACTTTGAAATACTGGGACGCTGATAAGTTTGAACACATAACAACTCTTCAGGTAATGACAGTGATTTCTGGAGATCCTTTGTTCTTTGATTGGTTTAGAAAACTTGTGCTACCCTCTTAACCAAACACGTTTAATCACGTTTTCCCGCGATGTCGGTATTTTTAGTTCTTGTCAGCTCTCTATGATGTTAATACATTTTGAATTCAGTTTTACCATTTTCAGCGGAAATTCGCCGAAGAAAGTTAACATTTTCTCTCTGTTACGTTCGTACACATGTATTACTGACGGTACGGTCGTGTTATGTGGGACGCTTAGACGGCAATTGGATTGCCTGGGAACGGCTAAAACGTGAATACATGGGAAGCAGTTGTTGAAAATGTCCTGAAAGATGTGTGTTTACTTCACCATAGGGCCATCATGCGGAAGTCTGGTGCGTGGCTGTGAGTCCAGACGGCGATTATGTGGTGAGTAACAAAATGGATTGTGTCCGATTGTCTTATTACACTTGATGAGAGTGTTATGATCCCAGTGTTCATTGCGCAGTTGTGCTCCTCCGCCCTCTTCTATCTATTTTAAGACTAATCTGTGTAATAAAGGAGGTAAATTTCTAAAGAAACTGTGGTGCTGCATCGGTGGGAGAGTATAGCAGGTAATTTGGTGTTAACAAGGTATAAAAGCGTGTGATAATTTTCTGTTAAAATTTCTTTGTCCTTCAGGCAACAGGTTCTCACGACAGATCCCTTCGGCTGTGGGAGAGAACGGATGAACCATTGTTTATAGAAGAGGAACGAGAACAGGTTCGGCATATTCTTGATGTTTCACAGCTTTGTTTCCTCAGCAACTGGTATACATCAATTTACATCTATTCACTTGTTTGATCTTTTTTTCAGGAGAGAGAGAAAGAATACGAAGAAAGTCTTGTGCAGAACACTGAGAGAGTGGTACGTTTTAAGTAACTGCTCCTCAAACGTTTCGCCAACACTATGACACCTAAGAATAACGATTGCGAAGTGTAAAAGACCACCGGAAATTAGAGGAATGACACGAAAGTCTGTCTGTTTTTAACCTTACTTTCTTCCCTTGCGCATTCCTAGTTGCCAGCCAGCTCGGTGCGAACAGGGAAAATGTTTAATTTGGTTTTTCAAGTTACGTCTGCGATGCGAACACCACTTCTCCCAGCCTCTCCGCTCAGACTTCAAGTTTCATTGATACAAAATTTCATGCTTGGTAGTTTAAATTCATCAACGAATAATGAGCAGAATTAACCTGGTAATGTTAAAATCGGGTATAGTTTCCTCAGTATTCGATTGCGTTACCTTCATCAAGGGTTTTTTTGTCTCAGATTCCCGGAGAGGTAGACGGAGAAGCCGTCAAGGCTGGAAAAAAGACATTAGAGACTGTGAAGGCGGTGAGATATTCTACTTAAACGTTATCACTTGATTGGAGAGAATTCTGTTAAAGAGCTTTATTTGTTAAAGAAACCATCTACAGAGAAACGCATTTCAAGACAGGATAAAATCTGAACACAGTGCTTGAAAAATGACGCAGGCAGTCAAATTTTTTTGAATGAGGGAAACAAGATTTGCAAGTGAAAATTCGCCACAATGGCGAAGTCTAGTTGCCAGCTAATTTAAAAGAGGCTTCGAATGAGTTCTGAATCAAACATGAGGGACATGAATGAAGAAAATGATCTCCAACTTAAGAAATTCTTGATTGTGAAACAAATTCTTGTCACTTTTTTGTTGCAAAATCATCTGCCGGTTGCAGGCGCATTCTAGACTAGAAACAAAACTTGTTAAATTTTATTTTTTGTTCATAGGCGGAAAGACTAATGGAGGCTATTGATCTCTATAATGAAGAAACAGCTAAAATGAGAGACCAAGGTGGTGGTCGTGAACAGGTAAACATTTTCTTTCTATGGCGTTTTACAGCTCGAGAGACAGATAAGACTCTTGGTGAAAAAAGAGAGCCGCAGTAACTTACAATTTTTTAGCGACATTACTACTTTTTTACGATTTAGTTCATACATTGTTAGACAACCATAAAAAAATAGCAAGAGTGATCCTTTTACATTTTGCAGGTGTCTACCAATCCAATTCTAATTGCGCATGGAAATATTACGGTAAGGAGTCTATTACATGTGTTTAAAATCGTACCTTAATCTTAGATGGTCCAGATCACTTGAACATTATGTAGGATGATCGGCGCGATGGGCCCATGATTTGGATACCAGGCTTAAAACTTGAGGTAACTTGTTGTCATGCTCGTTGTTGGGGTCTCTGTGTATCTCACGAGACCCATGGGAACGAGAACCGCAAGTTTTCTGCGAAAAGTCTGTTAAGAGATTGGAACCAAAGCACATACAGCCCGAGGGACTGTAGAAGGAAAAAAGAAATTTTGCAAATTCCCTTCCTTCCTTGCGCGCCCTTTTTCCTCGGAGAGTTTAGTACACCTGGGTCCGAGACAGGGCTTAACCTTGTGACCCTTGAGAGTGCCTAGCATCTAATTTCTCCTTACAGTATCATCCCTGAATCACACAGTAAGGTCATGAGAATAAAGGAAATGATCACCAACAA